AAATCAAAATTATAAATTGGAAAATCTGTTCCTAACGGGCCCAACGAATTCCTAATTGGAATTAGGGGGTTCTTTTTGATTGATTTTTTATCGCATTGGGAGATTTTACATCGTTGAATGGGCCTATTCGAAAACAATTGGATGATGACAAAATTATCAAAGATTGAGATTCCTTATTTCGATTCAACAATGTATGGATAGTTCCTTGATTTGGATTAAGGGATTCTTTAATCCTTGACTTGGAATAGGAATAAATGGAAGAAAATGGATTGACATTAGCGCGATCTGATCCATTCTCAGAGATCAATCCTGAACCCGACAGATCGTTCCTTTTTCCAGTATAAGAAATAGGTGACTTAGCTAAGTCGATTCTTAGAAAATATCTAAGCAAACCATTTGTCCTTATTTCAACAAAGGAAGCACAGGCCTTTTCGAATTTTTTGTCTTGGTCCCAATTCAACACTAAAGAAGTCCGAACTAACTGAATACTTGTGTCCCAAATTTCAAGAATTAGGTCGTAATAAAGGATATAATTGACAACTCGAAGTTGTAGATTATCACTTTCCTGCAAGAGATCCGGCGGGAAAAGTCTTCCTAAATTTATACCATCCGTTTTTTTATATGGGACTACAGGTTGAACCAAAACAAAATACTTTTTTTCATACCTGGAAAGTTTCATTCGTTGGATATAGAGCCAATTTTTCAATTTTTTGTATTCTTTGGAATTTGGTTTTCCCCCTCCTGGCGGTATCAATCGGAATGCCTTATTTGTCTTTCCAGGAAAATGGATATCTCCAGAAAAGATTATCAGTTTCATTTTTTCTGCTTTTTTCTTCACTCAGACCAATCCGCCTACCCGACTTCTTCTATTGAAAGTGATTTGTGTATCTGCCCCAATAATACTATTGTGCCGTACCATTATGGAAGAAGATTCGGACAAAATGTGGACTTCCACGGGAATAAAAAAAAATGGATTTACTTCCTTTTGGTATTTTGGCCAAAATACCTTGACTCCTCGATACTCAATCAAATTCTCTTCGTTGACGATTGAATTTAGTTCTCGAGTCTCATATTTAGTAAGTCCCGAGCTCTTTCTTATATATCGAGGATCATTGAAATAAGCAAGAATACTATTTCTACGGAGAATACCATTTCTGGGTATTTCCATTGAGATACCTGAAGAAGGTATTAGTTGGTTCTCGCCTTCTTGAATCGATTCGAGTGGGATGATGAATCTATTTCTTCGCCTCTTTGCCAATAAATCAGAATTACCGTCGAGAATGGCCGGATATCTGAGATAACAATGATCCGTACATGTCATTCGATTCAGTTCTGAATAATCAGGAATCCTATCTCCTTTTTTATTTTTACCAGAAAAATACGAACTAAAAAATTTGTGTCTCACTTGATTATTAGTTACTGAGGGGTTAGCAATATATCTTGGCTTGACAGAAAGAGAATAAGCGTTCATTTGATCTTGATCCTTGTGGATCGAACAAGGGCCTAGACTGTATCTCCAGGGCTCCCCTAATAATATCCATAAATGACTTGTTTTTGGTAAGAGATGAATATTACCATATGTAAATTCAGGTGCATGGTACACATCAGTATTCCAGTGCATTTCGCCTTCCGAGTCAGAATAAATATGTTTTCGAACCTTCTCTTTCAAATTCAAAGTGGAGGTTCTCGCGCGAATCTCAGCAATCACTTGTTCTGATTCTACATATTGATCGTTTTGAACTAAAAGAAAACTTTCGATCGATTGACGTAATTTTTCTACCGCGTGTACATTCCCATAATGATGGTGTTTTTCCAAAATAAAACTTTGTTGTTCAGCGTCTTGAACTAGCCATCTTTTAGAAGGTATTGTTAAAAGATCATCAATTCCTAATGAAATGGATGCGGCGGTAGCTTGTCGGAAACCCAGAGTCTTTACTTGATCTAAGATATGTGATGTATATCCTATCCATAGTGATCAATAAATCGACTAATAAGTCGTTTCATGGCAGTTCCGTCTATCACTTTATTGTGAAAGACCTGAGTGGGCCGTTCTACCATCAGTACCTCCATATTGCGCTGAGTAGAATTTTACAATGGGCTTGAGTCAGTGATTGGAAAACTTCCTTTTCTAGATCTTGATTCACGTATAAATTCTGCACTTATGGTCCTAGTTAACCCGGAGAGACTCGAATTCCCGTTGGTAGCATAGAATTACAACAGCCCTGCCAAAACCCCTGTATGGCTTCTTCTATTTCTCGATAAAGGGAAATATGACCAAGAGTGGTTCGAATATATATATAAAGAATTTCTTTTTTTATACTTCGTACTATTAGATAGTGTCCATAAATCTCATAATAGGTCCCCACAGATTCATAGTGAATTTCGATGGGAACTTCTCTTGCAGTAATAACGCGTTGATCTAGTCGCCACCGCAGCCACAAAGGACTACCTAAATTGATTCGTTTTTGCCGATAAGCTCCAATTGCATCATAGGGATTACAAAAAAAGGGTTCTTTTTTTTTTGTATACTTATAGTTATTATCTTCATTTTGATAATTTCTACGATTACATGGATTATACCTATTTCCACAAATACCCCGACGATTTCCACTCGTTAAGACATAGAGTCCACTAAGCATATCTTGAGTTGGTGCCGAAATCGGATCCCCAATAGTTGGAGACAAAAGATTCATATGAGAAAACATAAGTAAACGCGCCTCTCCTTGAGCCTCCAAAGATAAAGGCACATGAACAGCCATTTGATCCCCGTCAAAGTCTGCATTGAAGCCCTTACAAACTAATGGATGTAAACAAATAGCGCGCCCTTCCACTAAAACGGGGAGGAATGCCTGTATGCCTAATCTATGCAAAGTAGGCGCTCTATTCAGCAATACAGGATGGTCATCCAGAATTTCCTGAAGTATTTCCCATACAATCGGTTTTTTTTTCCGAATTTGACTCTTAGCAACTCCTATGTTCGAAGCAAGATGTTTTCTAATTAGGTCACGAATTACAAATGCCTGGAAAAGTTCTATTGCTATTTCGCGAGGCAATCCACATCGATGTAATGAAAGTGAAGGGCCCACGACGATCACGGACTGCCCTGAATAATCGACCCGTTTACCAAGCAGAGTCTCGCGAACTCTTCCTTCTTTGCCTTCAATTACATCTGAAAGCGACTTGTAAACTCTATTATGATCATCCCTCATTGGTTGTCCGCAGATTCCATTATCAAGAAGTGCATCCACGGCTTCTTGTAGCAATTTTTCCTGAGATATTATTAATTCTTCTGGCGTAGCTATACTTGTTGTTAATAGATCTGTAAGAGTATTATTCCGATAGATAATTCTTCTATAGATTTCATTAATATCCGAGGTTACTAGTTTATCCTCATCTATATGATAGATTGGTCTCAACTCAGGAGGAAGAACTGGTAATAGACGCAAAACCATCCATTTTGGTTCTATATTTGTTCGAATAAAATGCTTAGCCAATTCCATGCGTCTAAGCAAAAAATCTTTTCTTCTTCCAACTTTTCGATCTTCCCATTCGTTCTCTGTGGGTTCCTCTTCCTCCAATTCTTTCCATTCTACCAATGAATAGTCTATAATAATTCGTAAATCTAGATTGGCTAATTGTTGTCTAATAGAACCTCCCCCGGTAGACATCTCTCGATTTCGAAATGTATCGAAGCTCCAGGTAGTAAAAAAAATGGGGATCCTGTATTTCCAGGGTTGAATTTCATATTCTAATAAACCCCGTAATCGTAAAAAAGTAGGTTTTTTATCTATGGGCCTAGCAAAATAAAAATTGGGATAGGATCTCCCCCCCCTCAAAATCGGACGTGAAAGTTTCCTTTCATCCGGCTCAAGTAGGTATACCAAAAAAAGAAAAAGAAAGGAGTTCTTGCTTTCAAATTCTAGAAAACTCCAAAAAGATCTACTCCTTACTCAAGTTTCCAGTGAAGACCAAGCAAAACTTCATGGATTCCGTCTTCCTTAATTATTTTTATTTAGATTTTATGAATTCTTTATTCAATTATGACATAAATGAAATGTGAAATTCTTGAGTAGTCTACTTCCCCTCGATGATGAATCCCGTAATTCTTAATGAAAGAGAGTACCTTAGAATTCAGAAGGAATTTACTTGTCTATTGTATTGTTCCATTTGATCTTTTAGGTCCCGACTTCACCTCGACGGTTAGGCCACGATGCCCTTAAAGTCTATATGCGATAGATAGACTCTTGTAACCATGACATCTTTTCTATTTGCTTACTTAAACATAATTTCTTTCTAAAAAAGGAACTGCTTAATTCCACAAAAGAAAAAGTCTTTTTTTTACGAGGTCTAACTATAAATTCTTATGAAATCGACCATAGATCAATTCCCTTTTTGGGGAGCGTCTTGAATACATCCCTAATTCTGAGCTTCATGTTACTCCTATCAAGAAACATGTCAGGTACAGGGCATCCCGATTGGATTAAATGGGATGACAGTTTCTCATTTCGAATCTGTAAAATCAGAATTTCGATCAAATCACACACCGCAGTATACTAGGTCTTCTAATTCGTTAAGAGGTTTATCTAAAAGAGTCACAATATAACTAGGAAGACGTTTCAAATACCACACATGCATTACCGGGTATGCGAGTTTGATGTAGCCCATTTGATATCTTCGTATCCGAGAATCAACAAACTCGACTCCGCATTGTTCACAAAATTGCGGGTCTTCCTTTTCATCTCCGATTACTCGATAATTTCCACAAGCACAAATTCCACTTTTGATAGGCCCAAAAATTCTTTCACAAAATAATCCATCTTTTTCTGGTTTATTGGTTTTGTAATGAAAGGTATAAGGTTTTGTCACCTCTCCAACTATCTCGCCATTAGGCAGGATTTTTTTGGACCAAGTACTTATTTGTTGAGGAGAAACTAATCCAATTCGGAGTTGTTGATGTGTATATCGATCGATCATAGAAGAAAACTTCTGCTTGATTTCAATTAAGCTTCCTTCCTATTAAGCTGGAAAGTCTTCTCAGATACAAGAAAATGATTCAGTTCCAGAGCTAAAGATCGTAGTTCTCGAACGAACAACCGAAAAGATTCTGGAGCATCTTCAGGAGTCGGTATTCTTCCTCCAAAGATTATAGTACCAAGTACTTCCTGGCGCGCTCTAATATGATCAGATTTATAAGTAAGCATCTCTTGTAAAATATAAGCAACGCCAAACCCCTCTAAAGCCCAAACCTCCATTTCTCCTACCCGTTGTCCCCCTTTCTTGGCCCTTCCTTTAAGGGGTTGTTGTGTAAGACGTGAATAATGCCCACTGGAACGCCCATGGATTTTATCATCAACTTGATGAATTAATTTCAAGATATAAGGCTTTCCTATTATAACAGGTTGTTCAAAAGGATCCCCTGTTCTTCCATCAAATATTCTGCTTTTTCCTGGAGACTCGGGTTCAAATATCCATGGATTCACTGTTTGCTTACTGGCTTCATATAATTCAGAAAACACCAGTTTTCTCGAAGCTTCTTGTTCATATCTCTCGAAAAAGTGATTCGATTGATGGGATTTGGTATGATACTTATGAGATCGATGATATCGATGAGATTTATATTCAAATATTTCTTCTTAGAGCGTATTGATTTGACCCTATAAGCGGGACCACCACCCAATAGCATGTTGCCACCTAGAGAATCTCCTAATTGTTTCAGAGCAACTAGAAAGAGATTCTTTAACCAGAAAGAATTCGGTTCAGATGTAGGATACCTATCCAGAAGTTTTCGCAACTCAATCATAGATGATGGAATCATCAAAGATTTGACCTTTTCGAACTCTGTCTGTAACTCACTAGAGGCCCCGAAAACAAAGAGAAGACGTGTACAAGCGAGATATGTAGCAACAAGAAGAAGGAAATGGATTGCATAGAGGAACTCCCGAACATTTGTCAGATGTGTCGATATCAATGGTGACTCATTATTTCGATGAATCATTTCTTCGGACAGAAGAAGATTATGCAAACACTTACTCGAAATCTCACTTATCAGATTCCTTTGTGGAAGACAGAATTTTTTCTGAAGAATTCGCCATGATATATTTGATCCATGCATAATATCATGAAAAATGGATACAAATTTTTGACTGCTACTTAGTATCGGCAATAGGTCTGAAAAAGTATCTAAAAAGAAAAACTTTAGATATTTGTACCCTGTCGAAGTAAGGAACCATGGCATATATGTTTGGAATAGATTCCATTTTGAGAGAGTTGAATAAGCACTATCTCGTTGAAAAGTTCTATACATCTGCCCTTTCTCAACGCATTTCTTTAGACAAAGACTCCGTTTTTTCCTCTTTTCGGATGGTAAATATTTCTCATAACATGGAGTGTGAATCAAACCCATGTTTGAATTGAAATTGAGATACTGATACAAGTTCTTCCCTTCTGAATCAGATAGATTCATATCTGAAAGAGGTTGACAACAAGTTCTTTCAAAATTGACTATTTGTCCCTCTGTTAGAGGTGTTCCAGAAATGTCTGCGATCGAGTAAATAGCTCTACGAACGAATGGATTGGATCGACTTGGAAAATGGAAAGATTTGTACAAGTTATACGTTTCGTCACCACTTTGTGGAAAAGCCTTAGGTATGAATATGTTAGATACCTGTGACTCGATTGCTGAAATAGTATCTCTCCCCCAAAAAGCATGTTTTTTTACCGACGCACAAAGAAAATATTTTGTTGCGAATCCATAATCAAAGAAGTGTTTGTGAGTATTGCAGAAGAAATGAAACAAAAGATACGGTAGAGCTAGGACAGTTATTGCATGAGGTCTACCCAGTGCTAGATGCAGAGGTGCATCTAAAACTGGTCTAGAAAGGAATTTGAGAATTCTTATGATATGGAATCGTAGTCTAAATCGAATCATGATCTAAAGATATCCATTAACCATAGTCTACAAAATATAAATCCCTCGCTCAGTTGATTCATTAGAATTTCTAATTTATTGATTTAATCCGGTCGGTATAGTATAAATATATAAATAGAGAATTCAGAAAAAGAAGAGAACATTGTTTTTGCAAACATGAATAGAATTTTTTGAACAGTTTTTGTAAGAAAAAATTTTTATCTTTATCCCCCCAGCCTAGAAGGAAAGATACTTCTTTTACTATGATGAAAAATTTTCGATTTTGATCGCTTTATAGTTAGAGTTGATTGGTTGTACCTACCCAATAATCTAGAATGATTCACTATTCACTCGATTTTAATTTTTTGGGTCATAATCATTATGTAGGAGAGATGGCCGAGTGGTTGAAGGCGTAGCATTGGAACTGCTATGTAGGCTTTTGCTTACCGAGGGTTCGAATCCCTCTCTTTCCTTTCCGTACCTTCACCTAATTCATCGATCTTACTAACCACAATAGATCAAATAGCAATGGATACGACTATTCCAACAGTTAGACCTTTCGTTGATATGGATTCTCTATTCCTAATGGCTGTGGTACAGAAAATACTGTGTAAACGAAAAGAGTAGAGTAGACAAGGAATGAAAATCTCGAATCAGATTACTAATAAATCTGTTAAAGGATACGTGGTTTGATAAAAAAAATATCTCAGGCGTTTTTTACCCTTTCTCGATAAAAAAAGTTCATTTTAGATCTATAATATTCTAACGTTTACTAAGAAATCGTTTTGATTGAAATGGAAAACAATCAATCCCATAATGAATTAGTTAATGCGTTGAAAGAAACTAACTAAACTCAAGAGTTTTTATTTCATTAGACCGATGACCTTAGTTAATCCTATAATTCATATCAGCATCAAGTACTCTTTTGAGCGTAATTTTTTATCCTTGCTCTATGAATCTAAATTATTATTACAATAAATTCTCGTAATAATAATTTAGATTTGCATTTTCATGTTATAAGTATTCATTTTTATATCTAACTTGGTCATCTCATTTGACCAATTGTAACTTCTTGTTTTGAATATTTGATTTGAACGATTCTGAAAAGACTCAGAATAAATACTAATCTAAAATTATTTAAAATTCCTACGAACAAAATTGTTCCATTATTACCAACAGAATAGAACAAATATGAACCCTTGCGTTGAAATAATCCACTAAAGAGGGGGTCCTATATTTCCAATGCAATAAAGTTACGTAGTGTCTTTTTTCTTTCATAAAGGGGTATTTCCATGGGTTTGCCTTGGTATCGTGTTCATACCGTTGTATTGAATGATCCCGGACGGTTGCTTTCTGTTCATATAATGCATACAGCTTTGGTTGCTGGTTGGGCCGGTTCTATGGCCCTGTATGAATTAGCAGTTTTTGATCCTTCTGACCCTGTTCTTGATCCAATGTGGAGACAGGGTATGTTCGTTATACCCTTCATGACTCGTTTAGGAATAACCAATTCATGGGGTGGTTGGAGTATCACGGGGGGGGACTATAACCAATCCGGGTATTTGGAGTTACGAAGGTGTGGCCGGAGCGCATATTGTGTTTTCTGGGTTGTGCTTTTTGGCAGCTATCTGGCATTGGGTATATTGGGATCTAGAAATATTTTCTGATGAACGTACAGGAAAACCTTCTTTGGATTTGCCCAAGATCTTTGGAATACATTTATTTCTTGCAGGTGTGGCTTGCTTTGGTTTTGGTGCATTTCACGTAACAGGTTTGTATGGTCCTGGCATATGGGTGTCCGATCCTTATGGACTAACAGGAAAAGTACAAGCTGTAAATCCATCATGGGGTGTGGAGGGTTTTGACCCTTTTATTCTGGGAGGAATAGCCTCTCATCATATTGCGGCAGGGACTTTGGGCATATTAGCAGGCCTATTCCGTCTTAGTGTCCGCCCGCCCCAACGTCTATACAAAGGATTGCGTATGGGCAATATTGAAACTGTCCTTTCCAGTAGTATCGCTGCTGTCTTTTTTGCAGCTTTTGTTGTTGCCGGAACTATGTGGTATGGTTCAGCGACTACCCCCATCGAATTATTTGGGCCTACTCGTTATCAATGGGATCAAGGGTACTTCCAACAAGAAATATATAGAAGAGTTAGTGCTGGGTTAGTCGAAAATCAAAGTTTATCAGAAGCTTGGTCTAAAATTCCTGAAAAATTAGCCTTTTATGATTACATCGGAAATAATCCGGCAAAAGGGGGATTATTTAGGGCGGGCTCAATGGATAACGGGGATGGAATAGCGGTTGGATGGTTAGGACATCCTATTTTTAGAGATAAAGAAGGGCGTGAACTTTTTGTACGTCGTATGCCTACCTTTTTTGAAACATTTCCGGTCGTTTTGGTAGACGGAGATGGGATTGTTAGAGCCGATGTTCCTTTTCGAAGGGCAGAATCTAAGTATAGTGTCGAACAAGTAGGTGTAACTGTTGAGTTCTACGGTGGTGAACTCAATGGAGTCAGTTATAGTGATCCTGTTACTGTGAAAAAATATGTTAGACGCGCTCAATTGGGGGAAATTTTTGAATTAGATCGTGCTACTTTGAAATCCGATGGTGTTTTTCGTAGCAGTCCGAGGGGTTGGTTTACTTTTGGACATGCTTCATTTGCTTTGCTCTTCTTCTTCGGACACATTTGGCATGGTGCCCGAACCTTGTTTAGAGATGTTTTTGCTGGTATTGACCCAGATTTGGATGCTCAAGTAGAATTTGGAGCATTCCAAAAACTTGGAGATCCAACTACAAGAAGACAAATAGGCTGATATAACATTTCTTTGGTGTCTTTCGAATCTATTTTATTTTTTTGATATAGGGTACCAATCTTGATTTGCATCGTCATTTTTTTGTTACTCTTGCTCTTTCTTTATTCGGGATATGATCCCCCAAAAAAGAAACAGTCCCCCTACCGATTTAATAACCTCTGCTCCAAAGAAACTCATAAGACCAACTCCATTTGGAATTGCATCAATTATTCATCTATCAAAAAAATGAGCAAAGTTGGCCAATTTTCTAATCCCCGCAGTTAAGAATCTTCCATAAAAGGCATCTATGTAACCCCGATTATATGACCAATCATATATAGAATTTTTTATTTTGTCATAAAAAATTCTATTAGGACCCATTTTAACAAATGCATTAAGGAACTCCAAATTTTGAAAAGATGAATAAACAGGTTTATATAAAAAAAAGGCTATAAATATTCCGAAAGAGGCTATACTGACTGAAAAAAATGCATCTTTACTAAATTCATACCAATCTATCGAATTATTTGAATTTTGATGTAAAAGATTTATAGACGGGTTTAACCATTTGGATAATATATCAACGTCTTGATTGAAAGGAATTCCTAAGAATCCAACGAACAAAGTAAATAGAATCAATATAAGTATTGGGAATAACATAGTATTATCCGATTCATAAGGATACGAATACGTCTTGGTATTGCCAAAATGAGGAATAGAAAGAAAGGGTTGTATCATATTTCTTACATTCTCATCAATTTTATATTGTATTGCTGAATAGAGCGCCTACTCTGCATAGATTAGGCATACAGGCATTCCTCCCCGTTTTAGTGGAAGGGCGCGCTATTTGTTTACATCCATTAGTTTGTAAGGGCTTCAATGCAGACTTTGACGGGGATCAAATGGCTGTTCATGTGCCTTTATCTTTGGAGGCTCAAGCAGAGGCGCGTTTACTTATGTTTTCTCATATGAATCTTTTGTCTCCAACTATTGGGGATCCGATTTCAGCACCAACTCAAGATATGCTTAGTGGACTCTATGTCTTAACGAGTGGATCCGATTTCGGCACCAACTCTATGTCTTGTGATCGGTTTAGTAGGTGTTTTCTTTTATGGTTCATATTCCGGATTGGGTTCATCCCTGTAGTAATCGGATGAATTGAGTTGTAGACATGAAAGCGTAAGAACTCAACGGATTCCCTTCTTTGTTTGTCTGATTTGAGGGAGAAGGTCCCGTTGAGTTCTTAATAATTAGAATATTTTTTTTTATAAGTTCATTGAAGAAGTTCTATTTACTCAACAGATTTTCCCCTCCTCTTTTATTTGTCCACCACTTTTTATTTATAGTATACGTAATTATTATAAGATAAGAATAAATAAAAAAGAATAAATAAAATACGTAATAACTATAAAAAACGTTCTGATACGTCTGTAAAAAATAGAAACTAACACTAGGAATGTTTGACGAACAGTATCAAGAATCATTATTATTTCGACACAAGAAAAGGATTTTTCACACCCCTTTCTTGTGTCGAAGACTAGGAAGACGAATAACCCCTCCCAGAAATATTTGTTCCCTTCAATTATCCGTTCTATTTTGCGTTTACTTTTGTATAGGATCTAGCCGAAGTCCATTGTATTAGACTCAAATGCATTTTATGACATTTTAATCTGCCAATAGCAACATAATAACATCACCCCAAATTTTTATAAAAAAACAAAAACAAAGAAAGAAGGGGTCAAGTCAAATAGTCTTCTTCACAATCTACATACTGTGGCTAGGAATGTGGTACAAGGAATTCCCGGCATCTCGTAGAAAAAGAGTATAAACAAACAAAAGGATTTTTAGAATTTTATTTTTTATCATAGATAATCATAATTACTAAAAAAATTTTGGTTCTTTTTACAAACTTGAGGTCGATAAATCCGCGAGTCTAGAAATTCATTTCGGACAATTGAACCTTCTCGAACTGTTTCTTTTTAAGAACCAAAAATATTTGTGCCAAAATAACAGATGCTAAGAAGAACAAAAGGCCTTGTACACGTAATGGATCTTGAAGTACTATTTCTGCATCTCCCTGACCAAATCCACCCACATTAGGATTACTTGTCAACGGCTGCTCAAATTTGATAGATTCGCCTTCTGAAACAAGAAGTTCTGGCCCCGGAGGGATAATATCAACCACTTGACGTCCATCCGATGCATCCGCTATGGTTATTTCGTATCCCCCCTTTTCTTTTCGTAGGATTTTGCTTACTATACCGGATGCTGTAGCATTATAAACTGTATTGTTACTCTTGCTCCCGTCAGGATAAATCTGGCCCCTTCCCCTGTTTCCGCCTACGTATTTAGGATATTTTAAGAAGTGAATGTCTTTCTTAGTAGCGGGGTCCGGGGAAAGAATAGGAAACGTGATTTCACTATATTTCTGACCAGGAACAGGGCCTATGACAAGAATATTTTTTTGATTTGGGCGATAGCTCTGAAAAGACAGATTGCCCATCTTTTCTTTTATCTCGGGGGAAATACGATCGGGAGGGGCTAATTCAAAACCCTCTGGTAAAATAAGAACAGCCCCCACATTTAAAGCCCCTTTTTTACCATTAGCAAGAACTTGTTTCAGTTGCATATCATAAGGAATTCGAACAACTGCTTCAAATATAGTATCGGGAAGTACCGTTTGCGGAACCTCAATATCCACTGGTTTATTAGCTAAATGGCAATTGGCGCATACAATACGTCCAGTCGCTTCTCGTGGATTTTCATAGCCCTTCTGTGCAAAAATGGGATATGCATTTGAAATGGATGCACGAGTTATGATATATATCATGAGCGATACGGAAATAGATCGAGTAATCTGTTCCTTTATCCAAGAAAAATTATTTCTAGTTTGCATGGTCCAACCATTGATCCCGAAAATTTATACAATAAATTGGGGTAGGTCACTAATGGAGTTTCCTATCCACGATTCTGTTATTTACTAGAATAATTTGACTGGATTAATATATAGGATGAATCTCCGGGATGGGTAGAAAGATAAAGAGTGAGTACGATTTTCAATGCTTTGCTTATGTACAACTGCAAAGTAAGAAACATTCTAATTGGATTAGGTAGATAATTTTTCAGTCATTCATTGAATGATAAATCACTACAAGTGATGGAGATACGCGATTTAAATAACGGAAAATCCAATATTTGAAAATTGTATCTAGAATGACTGGAAAAGTGGAAACAAGGCCAGATATAATTTGCTCATTATGAACAAATCCAAAATCCTTGTAGACAAAGCCAATCATCAGTTCCCAACCATGGGGCGAATGAAATCCGATACATAAATCAGTTAATAAAAGAAGAGAAAAAGCTTTTATTGTGTCACTTAAGTTATATAGGAATTCCTGAACCCAAGAGTTAAGAATAACAAGTTCTTTATTACCCAAAAGAGAATAACCACTTAGAATAATGAAACAGATTATATTTGTCGAGAAGTGCAAAATCGTATGAATACGACCCTCGTTGTGTATCTTGATTAATTGGATTGTATCTTTGTGAATTCCTATACGAAGGTTTTGTAGATGTGTCTCCGAGTATTCCTTAATCATTTCCTCAAAGAAGAGGAGTTCCTCTAATTCTATGAATTTTTCTAGAATACTCTTTTCTTCAATATCATTCAAAAAAGGTTCGGATTGCCTAGTATTCCACCAATTAGTAACCCAGGATTCCATACTTTTTTGAAATGAGAGAGAAATCCACCAGGGCAAAAATACTATAGATGCAAGATATAAAAGAGGAGTGAATGCTTTATTTTTTTCCATTTTTTCATCTCTGAATTGTTAATGAACCTATCTCATTCGTCGACTCTATGTAATCTAATATTACTCTCCCGCATCAGTTCTATTACAAGTTATCGAACCTATGAATTTAGAAAAAAATACAGAAATAGATGAAAAATTGGAATGGATAAATAATCAAAAAAGAATGTTTACCTATATCTCAATTGGTCAAATTCGAAGCACATATCTCCTTTCGATCCTCCGAATAGCGGACCAAAACCCGTTGCCTTACCACTTGGCTATGCCCCATTTATATTGTTATTGGACACTAATACTAATAAAGAATAATATTGGTATTAAGTGTTCATCAATTCCAGCCCAACTATCTATAGAAAATCTTTCTTCTTTATTCTTCTTTATAGAATATATTATAGATTCGTGCTAGGATTTTGACATGTGTATATCTAGAATTCAACTGAATTTATTGATCATTACATACATTGAGTTGGTGCCGAAATCGGATCCCCAATAGTTGGAGACAAAAGATTCATATGAGAAAACATAAGTAAACGCGCCTCTGCTTGAGCCTCCAAAGATAAAGGCACATGAACAGCCATTTGATCCCCGTCAAAGTCTGCATTGAAGCCCTTACAAACTAATGGATGTAAACAAATAGCGCGCCCTTCCACTAAAACGGGGAGGAATGCCTGTATGCCTAATCTATGCAGAGTAGGCGCTCTATTCAGCAATACAGGATGGTCACCAGAATTTCCTGAAGTATTTCCCATACAATCGGTTTTTTTTCCGAATTTGACTCTTAGCAACTCCTATGTTCGAAGCAAGATGTTTTCTAATTAGGTCACGAATTACAAATACCTGGAAAAGTTCTATTGCTATTTCGCGAGGCAATCCACATCGATGTAATGAAAGTGAAGGGCCCACGACAATCACGGACCGCCCTGAATAATCGACCCGTTTACCAAGCAAAGTCTCGCGAACTCTTCCTTCTTTGCCTTCAATTACATCTGAAAGCGACTTGTAAACTCTATTATGATCATCCCTCATTGGTTGTCCGCAGATTCCATTATCAAGAAGTGCATCCACGGCTTCTTGTAGCAATTTTTCCTGAGATATTATTAATTCTTCTGGCGTAGCTATACTTGTTGTTAATAGATCTGTAAGAGTATTATTCCGATAGATAATTCTTCTATAGATTTCATTAATATCCGAGGTCACTAGTTTATCCTCATCTATATGATAGATTGGTCTCAACTCAGGAGGAAGAACTGGTAATAGACGCAAAACCATCCATTTTGGTTCTATATTTGTTCGAATAAAATGCTTAGCCAATTCCATGCGTCTAAGCAAAAAATCTTTTCTTCTTCCAACTTTTCGATCTTCCCATTCGTTCCTGTGGGTTCCTCTTCCTCCAATTCTTTCCATTCTACCAATGAATAGTCTATAATAATTCGTAAATCTAGATTGGCTAATTGTTGTCTAATAGAACCTCCCCCAGTAGACATCTCTCGATTTCGAAATGTATCGAAGCTCCGGGTAGTAAAAAAAATGGGGATCCTGTATTTCCAGGGTTGAATTTCATATTCTAATAAACCCCGTAATCGTAAAAAAGTAGGTTTTTTATCTATGGGCCTAGCAAAATAAAAATTGGGATAGGATCTCCCCCCCCTCAAAATCGGACGTGAAAGTTTCCTTTCATCCGGCTCAAGTAGGTATACCAAAAAAAGAAAAAGAAAGGAGTTCTTGCTTTCAAATTCTAGAAAACTCCAAAAAGATCTACTCCTTACTCAAGTTTCCAGTGAAGACCAAGCAAAACTTCATGGATTCCGTCTTCCTTAATTATTTTTATTTAGATTTTATGAATTCTTTATTCAATTATGACATAAATGAAATGTGAAATTCTTGAGTAGTCTACTTCCCCTCGAATGATGAATCCCGTAATTCTTAATGAAAGAGAGTACCTTAGAATTCAGAAGGAATTTACTTGTCTATTGTACTGTTCCATTTGATCTTTTAGGTCCCGACTTCACCTCGACGGTTAGGCCACGATGCCCTTAAAGTCTATATGCGATAGATAGACTCTTGTAACCATGACATCTTTTCTATTTGCTTACTTAAACATAATTTGTTTCTAAAAAAGGAACTGCTTAATTCCACAAAAGAAAAAGTCTTTTTTTTACGAGGTCTAACTATAAATTCTTATGAAATCGACCATAGATCAATTCCCTTTTTGGGGAGCGTCTTGAATACATCCCTAATTCTGAGCTTCATGTTACTCCTACCAAGAAACATGTCAGGTACAGGGCATCCCGATTGGATTAAATGGGATGACAGTTTCTCATTTCGAATCTGTAAAATCAGAATTTCGATCAAATCACACACCGCAGTATACTAGGTCTTCTAATTCGTTAAGAGGTTTATCTAAAAGAGTCACAATATAACTAGGAAGACGTTTCAAATACCACACATGCATTACCGGGTATGCGAGTTTGATGTAGCCCATTTGATATCTTCGTATCCGAGAATCAACAAACTCGACTCCGCATTGTTCACAAAATTGCGGGTCTTCCTTTTCATCTCCGATTACTCGATAATTTCCACAAGCACAAATTCCACTTTTGATAGGCCCAAAAATTCTTTCACAAAATAATCCATCTTTTTCTGGTTTATTGGTTTTGTAATGAAAGGTATAAGGTTTTGTCACCTCTCCAACTATCTCGCCATTAGGCAGGATTTTTTTGGACCAAGTACTTATTTGTTGAGGAGAAACTAATCCAATTCGGAGTTGTTGATGTGTATATCGATCGATCATAGAAGAAAACTTCTGCTTGATTTCGATTAAGCTTCCTTCCTATTAAGCTGGAAAGTCTTCTCAGATACAAGAAAATGATTCAGTTCCAGAGCTAAAGATCGTAGTTCTCGAACGAACAACCGAAAAGATTCTGGAGCATCTTCAGGAGTCGGTATTCTTCCTCCAAAGATTATAGTACCAAGTACTTCCTGGCGCGCTCTAATATGATCAGATTTATAAGTAAGCATCTCTTGTAAAATATAAGCAACGCCAAACCCCTCTAAAGCCCAAACCTCCATTTCTCCTACCCGTTGTCCCCTTTCTTGGCCCTTCCTTTAAGGGGTTGTTGTGTAAGACGTGAATAATGCCCACTGGAACGCCCATGGATTTTATCATCAACTTGATGAATTAATTTCAAGATATAAGGCTTTCCTATTATAACAGGTTGTTCAAAAGGATCCCCTGTTCTTCCATCAAATATTCTGCTTTTTCCTGGAGACTCGGGTTCAAATATCCATGGATTCACTGTTTGCTTACTGGCTTCATATAATTCAGAAAACACCAGTTTTCTCGAAGCTTCTTGTTCATATCTCTCATCAAAAGGTGCTATTCGATAATGTCTGTCTAGCAAACCCCCAGCTAACCCGAGTGAAGATTCAAATATTTGTCCTACATTCATTCGGGAAGGTACTCCTAATGGGTTGAAGACCATATCAACAGGTCTTCCATCTTGCAAATAAGGCATATCTTGTCTAGGCAAAATTTTTGAAATGATACCCTTATTTCCATGTCTTCCAGCTACTTTATCGCCTACTTTTATTTCACGTTTCTGTAAAATATATACACGAATACTTTCTGTTTTCTCTGTCTCATCTGTCTTAGAACTCTGGACCCATCTCACATCAATCACCCGACCCCTACCTCCTATAGGTAATTTTAGACAAGTTTCTTTTGAAGTATATACCCGCATGCCAAGTATGGTTCGTAACAATCTATCTTGGGGGCATACGATGATTCTTTCACCATTTGGGGCGCTCCTATCTCTTCCTTCTCCGAGCTCACATTATGGAAGAAGGAGAAGAAGGAACCGAGAAGAAGGTATCAGCAACAACTGGTTTTATTACGGGACAGCTCATAATGTTCATATCGATCTATTATGCGCCTCTGCATCTAGCACTGGGTAGACCTCATACAATAACTGTCCTAGCTCTACCGTATCTTTTGTTTCATTTCTTCTGCAATACTCACAAACACTTCTTTGATTATGGATCTACTAACAGAAATTCAATGCGTAATCTCAGCATTCAATGTGTATTCCTGAATAATCTCATTTTTCAATTATTCAATCATTTCATTTTACTAAGTTCAATGTTAGCGAGATTAGTCAACAAGATTCAAACATTGAAAAAATAGTAAATTAATAAAAAAAATTGCTACATAAGAAAAATAAAAGAACAGATAAGAAAAATACGCCCACCCCTACCGATTTAATAACCTCTGGTCCAAAGAAAAGCTCGTTGCTTTTTCTTTCCCTATAATCAAAATGAAATTAATTGAAGCCGCAGGGCCCTATCCATTTATTAATTCGACCCAACTTGAAATTGACTTCGGTTTGCTCCCTTTCACTAATTTAAAGAAGGTTTTGTATCGAGCCGGAATAAATTATTCTCAGAACTCTTAATTGATACGACATGATATTTTTTCCATTCATTCCCTTTCAGGATCAGTCGTGGTCTTCCAAACTTTACCGATGGTATGGATGAATCCCTCGCTTCATCTAATGTGTAAAAGATCCTAGCCGCACTTAAAAGCCGAGTACTCTACCGTTGAGTTAGCAACCCAAATAGAAAACGGGTATGTAGATACAATCAGAATAAAACAAAATGATGAAATAAAAGCATTAAAGTACGAAATCAAAAAATATATAAAAAATTAGAATCTATTTGGAACATAAAAATGACTAAATCAGATGAAAAAATAAAAAATTTTCCGATAAAAAAGAAATAAAGAAATGGAAAAAATGCTAAACCATCCCCTATTTCTATGTTATCCACCTTTTTCAATCAAAAATGCGGGTATCAAAGCTAATCCAACAAACCCATAATTTGAATCAACTAAGGTAAAAAATCAAATGGGACGGAAATAAATAGAGCTGCTTATCACGATGAATTATATTTGTTCGATACAATGTTGTCAATATAAAGGGTAAGAAAAGAATACGATGGAAAAAATACAAGAACTTAAATTGAAATAATAGTAAAAAACGGACTTGTGTTGGATTGGCACTGCATATATACTAAAATTTTTAGTTTCTAAATAAAGAAGAAGTAGAAAAAGGATTTATGCAATCAATAGTGTATTGAATTAATATAATTCGAATAAAGAACTTCGATTCCTTGTGTCTTACTTGGTATTAGAATTTAGAATTCGAATGAAAACCACCCGATTGTAGGCAAGAATTTTTGATTTTGTGAGGATCAATCAAATAAGGTTTTCGTTAGAAAAAGATTCTATAAAAGAAATGATAAATAGATACTAATAGAGCAAGAAAAGAAGGAAATAAAAAAAACATAGTATAGAAAAGATATCCAAAATTATATAGAAATCACTATCCCACCCTTAGTTTTATTTCCTTAATTTAATTCCTTAATTTAATTGAATTTCGTTTGATTAGGGCAAAGTTCCTTAAAAACCTCTGCCTTTTTTAAAATATCCTGAACAGTTCCTGTAGGCTGAGCGAGCGCCTTTTTCAAGGAAATAGAGAATAGCGGGAACGTTTAAATAAGTTTGATTCTTGATCGGATCATAAAAACCCACTTTCCGAAGATCTCTTCCTTCTCTTCGGGATCGAACATCAATTGCAACGATTCGATAGACGGCTCATCGGGATAGATGTAGATGAAAAAGAACCCCCCCCCTAGAACCGTATAGGAAGTTTTCTCCTCGTACGGCTCGAGAAAAAATGATTTGAAGTTTTGTCTATGGATAAAATTATAATAAATAGTAAAGGAATCCGTAAAAGAAATTAGCCTATAATTTAACTCATAGTCATTTTTATTTAACTTCCTTACTGAAAACTAAAAAATCATTTGTACTCATAATTATCAAATATATTAAATAAAATTAAGATATTTTTTTATTGAGTGGTCTTTCACCCCCTTTTTGTCTCGTTGAAAAGCGGGACCACCACCCAATAGCATGTTGCCACCTAGAGAATCTCCTAATTGTTTCAGAGCAACTAGAAAGAGATTCTTTAACCAGAAAGAATTCGGTTCAGATGTAGGATACCTATCCAGAAGTTTTCGCAACTCAATCATAGATGATGGAATCATCAAAGATTTGACCTTTTCGAACTCTGTCTGTAACTCACTAGAGGCCCCGAAAACAAAGAGAAGACGTGTACAAGCTAGATATGCAGCAACAAGAAGAAGGAAAAGGATTGCATAGAGGAACTCCCGAACATTTGTCAGATGTGTCGATATCAATGGTGACTCATTATTTCGATGAATCATTTCTTCGGACAGAAGAAGATTATGCAAACACTTACTCGAAATCTCACTTATCAGATTCCTTTGTGGAAGACAGAATTTTTTCTGAAGAATTCGCCATGATATATTTGATCCATGCATAATATCATGAAAAATGGATACAAATTTTTGACTGCTACTTAGTATCGGCAATAGGTCTGAAAAAGTATCTAAAAAGAAAAACTTTAGATATCTGTACCCTGTCGAAGTAAGGAACCATGGCATATATGTTTGGAATAGATTCCATTTTGAGAGAGTTGAATAAGCACTATCTCGTTGAAAAGTTCTATACATCTGCCCTTTCTCAACGCATTTCTTTAGACAAAGACTCCGTTTTTTCCTCTTTTCGGATGGTAAATATTTCTCATAACATGGAGTGTGAATCAAACCCATGTTTGAATTGAAATTGAGATACTGATACAAGTTCTTCCCTTCTGAATCAGATAGATTCATATCTGAAAGAGGTTGACAATAAGTTCTTTCAAAATTGACTCTTTGTCCCTCTGTTAGAGTGTTCCAGAAATGTATGCGATCGAGTAGATAGCTCTACGAACGAATGGATTGGATCGACTTGGAAAATGGAAAGATTTGTACAAGTTATACGTTTCATCACCACTTTGTGGAAAAGCCTTAGGTATGAATATGTTAGATACCTGTGACTCGATTGCTGAAATAGTATCTCTCCCCCAAAAAGCATGTTTTTTTTTACCGATGCACAAAGAAAATATTTTGTTGCGAATGAACAAGATATTGAGGAATTGTCCATACGTAAAATCATAATTATTGATATGGGCCTTTTCCACATAAAAGGGGAATCTTTTGTTACAATAGAAGCAGAAGTGATGTGGATTATTCAAGAATCGAAGTTGATTTGCTTTATAAAAAGAAGATCTCAATGAACTTCTATGAAATGATTTCACGGGATTCAGCCAATTGTATTGATCGTGGAATATCATTGAGAAATAGGAATCCGTGTTATCAAAGGATTTCCTGCGATTATTTCTAGTATGGAATGAGTCAATCATCCACTTTGGTATCTTATTGAACGAAAATGGTGATATTGTTCCTCCATTGATCAAGAATTTAGATTTTTGGCAAGTCTCATGATCATCCAATAAGAAGGTTTTCAATTTTTTCAAATGAACGATTTGAAGACCTATTGATTCTAAAACCTGTGGATCATTCGGACCTTTCAATTCATAGATGTAGATCTTGGACCTATGAATGGGGATATTCCCGAAACTGACAAACAAAAAAGGAAGTGAGTTAGACAAAAAAAGAAGCAACTTGGACAAAAAGAAACGAAGTGGCTTAGACAAATCTTTTTTGTCGATAACCTCAGACCATTCAATCGAATATTGATTAATACGTAATCGATCGAACACTACTTGAAAACGGCTCTTCTGCTCAGAAACGAAATGTTCTTGGAAATTCTTGCTCCCAGTGGATCATTTGTATCTATATGCATCAGGATCCTGATTCATGGATCTCTTGGTTCGAGAAAAAAAAATAAGAGGATCAAACCATCTCTTCTGACTCTTTTTCAAATGTTGGTTGATCATATATTTCATTAGAGTTCTATGATTCAGAGTATCCTTTCCTATTTGATCCCTTTGAATTCCATATTTGAAGTTGCGATCGGATCTATTCATTAAAAAGAATCGATTCAATACATTTCTTATGTACTATTGATGAACCAATCAAATAAATCCATTTCTAAAAAATTCCTATATGATTTCTAACCGGGAAAGACTAAACACAACTAAAATACACAATGACGCTACAAAGGAATGTTACTAATGGAACATATAGTATACCTTTTTGACTCTGGACCATGGATTCTACTATTATTAGTGAGCAATACAATAATGGAATATTTCTAGCATAAAGATAAGGGACATAATTGACATGGATATAGTAAGTCTCGCTTGGGCTGCTTTAATGGTAGTCTTTACATTTTCCCTTTCACTCGTAGTATGGGGAAGAAGTGGACTTTAGAAGGACTACTAATTTAGTTTAGGAATGAAATGGTATCAATTGTTTTATAGATCGTTCTGCAACGCATTTTTTATTTTTTATTTGAATTTAAATAATTTTCAAATCAAAATTTATTCATTTCGAAATTCCATTGGATTCTAGTGGAGAAATGTATTATATAACAGCAAAACAATTATTTCAGAAAGAAAGAGAATTGGGTCCTACGTTAATTCCATATATGGATTAATCACTACATATATTGAAGATAGAAGCTAATATAGTATACCAACTTTATTAGAAAGTAAAGTACAACTTTATACACTACTATAACACTAATAGAGA